GACTTATTTTAAGTAATTAAAATGAAAATACAGTATCTGGGTAAGTAAAGGTGGAGGGAATATTAACATCTCTCATTTGTGAAGTATTCACTCTGTAGCAGGCAGGCTGAATATCTAATATTTGTTTTTAATCTTCAATACAACCATATAAAGCAGCAGTCAGCAACCGGTGGTCCGCGGGCCACTGGTGGTCTGTCAGGTCCGAAAGGTTGGCGACCGCTGATATAAAGTACTGTGTAGTCATGTTACTCTCTTAGTGGAATAGGCAAGAGAAACACAGAGAAAGTACGAGAAAAAAAACTTGGGTAAGCCCAGCCGGCGCGGCTCAGTGGTTGAGCGTCAACCTATGAACCAAGAGGTCACGGTTCCCGGTCAGAGTATATACCTGGGTTTCGGACTCAGTCCCTAGTGGGGAGCATGCAGGAGGCAGCTGGTCAATGATTCTCTCTCATCACTGATGTTTCTCTCTCTCTCTCCCCCTCTCCCTCCCTCTCTGAATTCAATTTAAAAAAAACAAAACACAAAACTCTTCCTCAGATTAAACAGAAAGTAAGCTTGTCTTAATCTCAGGGCAGCCGAGGAAGGTGCCAAGAGTAACACTTCCAAGCCTTTGCTGAAGCTGACTCATCCTCCTGGAATGTTTCTTCTTTCTTGTCAGCTCTGCGGACTCCTATTCATCTGCCATAAAACCAGCGGACAGTGCCTCCTCCTCAGTGATATCCTTTGTGAAAAACTGCCCCAGGCACATGTGATTGTTCCCTGCATTGTGCCCCTAATTTAGCGCCTCTCTATCAGTTTTTACTTCCCTCTCTCCCCCAGTCGCAATGCGGACGCCCTGATGATATGAGTGATAACATTTACTTTGTCCCATCATGTTCCAAACAGGGCTGGGGCAGAGGACACTAGTGACCAATGTCTGTTAAGTAAACGAAGGCTTTTGATGGCATAGGACAGCCGTGGGCAAACTATGGCCCGCGGGCCGGATCTGGCCCGTTTGAAATGAATAAAACTAAAAAAAAAAAAAAGACCGTACCCTTTTATGTAATGATGTTTACTTTGAATTTATATTAGTTCACACAAACACTGCATCCACGCTTTTGTTCCGGCCCTCGGTCCAGTTTAAGAACCCGTTGTGGCCCTCGAGTCAAAAAGTTTGCCCACCCCTGGCATAGGAGCATGTGATGGTCCTCTTAAAATATGCAACTTTTGACTAATGGAGAAAAAAGGGAGAAATATTCCAAAGAGATCATAGTTACACTGGAGGAAAGTCACATTTATTTATTTATTATGTATTTTTAGCTGCATTTTATTGGTGAATAAAGAACCCCGAAAGATGGTGTTTTAAAAGATCATGTTTTATATTCAATCTCTGTAAAAGATTTGTTTTTAATCTTTAATACATTCAATCTTTATAAAACTTTCTTATTATAGTCATGGGTGCACCATGACTTCAGTTGCATTTTCTCCCCTAAAGACCAGCAAATGATTAGTTGACTTGCCTAAGACTAAAAAGGTCTCTAGAGAAAACTGGTGACCAATAACATTTGACCTCTCTTAGAGGTTGACTAGTCTCTGCTGTCTGTCCAACAGGTACAGGCAAACTACAATTACCCAGAACCCACATATAAAACCTTTAAAAAAAGAGACTAAAATCACATTTAATTTTCAGTGCCCAGAACAAAGAGGTTTATTTCAGTATAAGAATATCTTTGCAAAGGAGTACAAGAAAAAGGGTTCACCGGACTTCAATGTCAGAGGACTTAGACTCTGTGGCCCCACAGTGATGGAGACAATCTTCAAATTCCTTAAGCACAAAGAATGGATGTCTTGGAGATAAAGGGAGAGTTGTTGGGGGAACTTAATTTATTAGAAGGTTCTGAATGAAGGAAGGAAGTTTGGACGGAAGTTAAGATGTAAACAGAGAATCAGCAGGGCTGGGGTTTGCTATGGGATCCAAGAGATCAGTAACACATTTTTTGAAAAGCAGAGTCTGCATCTCTGGGGAGTGAGGCAAGGAGGAAGTGGTGTGTTCAAAGCGGAGATTCAGCAGCAGTCAGGGATGGCACAGCACATGGGGCGGGGGCAGGTGGAGATGACACAGGTGGGGCGATAGCAATTGGTGGGGCAGGAGACCTGGCCACAGACTGGGCGGAGGCAGCAGCAGGGGCAGCAGCTGGGCCGGCAGCAGCTGGA